TGATCTGACTGCTGATGACTGGCTTAATTGTTCATTCCATTCACCTATCTAGTTCTGTACAGTTTCTCATCATCTGTGTCACCTGCTCCAGTCTCTATTTAAAAACCCTGCTCCCATTTATCAGTGATCTTTTTTAAAGCCTTTGTTGAGAGTTTTATGGTGTACCTGATTGTGTTCTGATTGCCTTATCCTTAATTGTTCTTCCTCTAGACCTCTAAGCCTGCCAGTTCCTGTTCTGATCTGTTTGCCTTACCTGTCTTCGGACTCCTGCTGGATTCTCCCTGTGGAACGAACCTGAATCTGCTTCCTAATACTGACCTGGATTTCCCTTTGGAACCTCTTCAGACCTCTGGGCTCCTGGTTCTGAATCCTGAGCTTTGGCTTTGCCCTCCTTCCCTCTGACAGGATATTGTGTCCTGCTTGTTCTCTGTCCTCTGGGGCTGCGGCGTGTGGGACACTCTGGGTGGCATCTGTCGCATCTTGTTGGAAGCCCACCAGCTGGATCCTACCATGTTCTCTGGGCACGGACTGAACTAGTAAACCAGGTTAGTGACTGACATTCATAATCATAACCCTCCGACAGATTTACATGTTCACTAACCTGTTTTTCCTTTCTGCACAGGATCCTACGGTAGTCGCTGCTGCTGCAGATCCAATTTTAACAAGTATTGTTGAATACTGGGTCCTCCGTTCTGAGCCATGACAATATAAGTAACAGTATAAGTACAGATACAAGTCAGATAAATCTGAGGCCATGAGAATATCAGTGACCTTAACCAGAGCTGCTTCAGGGCTATGATGAGCTCTAAAACCAGATAAAAACTCTCCAAAAAGTTAATGATGGTGTAAGTGGTCACACACTTTTTGGCAACTATTTTCTCAAGAATTTTAGAAAGAAAAGGAAGATTGGACATAGGTCTATAATTGACTGAAAATTCATCTGAGTCAACAGACGGTTTCTTAATTAAAGTTTTGATTACAGCCACCTTAAAAGACTGAGGTACACATCCCTGTTACAGGAATAGATTAATCCCATCTAAAATGAAGAGGAAATCAGGGTTGTCACTATAGAGGAAGGTATTGAGGCAGGAGAGACGTGCACGGAAGTTTTGGGAGCTGAAGACCACTCAGCTCATCAAACGGTATTATTTCGACAGAGTGGCTATAATAAATGCAAATACTGAAAATACATTGCACTGAATGGTATCTTGTAATTGATGTTCCCACAGCATGCACATGAGAGCCTAGGCGATTTTAACGGCCTTCGCTTGACGAGTCATTTGACTAACAGGGGAAAAAAGCCTTGATACTGTTTGCCTTTATTATCAAATTAAAAAAGTACTACGGTTAAAAATTTTTTAGTTTTTTTTGGAAGGTTATTTAAAAAATAACCATGCTACACAAAGTTTATTTTATGTGCATTAAGAAGATGTCTCTCCAGTAGTAAACTAAAATGCATTTCATCCTTAACCAGCCAGCCTTAGTGAGATTCAGCCTTATGGCTAAAATAACGAATGAATTATCTTTGTTTGGATCTAACACATAAGGATTAAAGTTGAAGAAATGTCCGTCTACCAGCCTCCTGTAGCTTTTCTCCTGTTTCCTCTTTACCACTGCATGCAATATTATATTTAGCTCTTGGCTGTTTGTAAAAAGAAGGTGTGTCAGAACTTTGAACCAAATGAAAGACCCAACAGCTTTGGTGTGCTTGCAACACCCCAGGGTGCAGCCAAGAGTTTCTGTTCCTTGTTGCTTGGGAAAAAAAAAATTATTAAAAGATTTTGTGCAAAGATTCTAAGGCCAAAACAGATCTGACAACAAAAACAAAATTTGATTAGGTCATTAAAAGAAAAATCTGCCCTTTTTAAGGGACATACTGTAGCTAACCCTAAAAAACATACATGTTAGTGAATTTGGGTTTTAAATGTCTCTAAAAGGTTATTATATCATGGTAATGTAAAATCACAACAGTAGTTTCTAAGATCCTGAAAGTGAAATCTAGGCCAACATCTCTGTGTTTTACTGTCCAAGAAACTCTTGTATCTTTAAAGCCCTGTTTACTTATTGAGTGTGCAATAGCAGGTGTGTCTGCTTAACATTTAACTATTGAGCAGGCAGACTTTCTACCTGCTAAGAGTTAAAAGGAGCAGAATAAAAAAACAACATGTTGTTACTGCACACAGCCTTTCTTTGTTCATCTTGCAACTCACAGTGGTTGTTGAGCCACTGTAAAGAGTCTGTCTCATTTGCTGATGTTTACTCAAGATAGACTGTTCTTCGAGAGGGACGGGATTTCAGTATTTGTTTATTACAGAGGATGTTGGTGACATTTTTTTCTTCATATTATCTGCAGGACATCCTGGACTCATGGGTCAAGTCTGTAAAGTACGACAAATAATTGAGTGACTGAGGGACTGGATCCATTGAAGGTCACACACACAGGATAATTGCATGCTGGACTGGATGTTTTTAAAACTGCAGTGAGTTGGTGAGTGTTGAATTTAACCTAAATAAAACATAAGTGTAAAAAAAATATTATTAAAGCTAATCTTATAGTAAATTATTGGGATTTGGAAGTCCCAAAAATTACACAAAGCAATGTAAAGCTGATTTTTACCCAACCAAACTTACCCATATACAGATTCATACATTATACTCTGGGGAAATGTTACCCTCCCAATAAGCACATCAACATGTAATTGATGTAAAGTGCAGAAGAGAACCAAACATTAACGCAGACACAACAGGAAACAATTCTTAGAATTTAGCAAATGTGTCAGACAAGTCAGGAACCTCTAAGAAGGAGAGATCGGGTCAGTAGCAGGATTGAATCTCAGTTTTAATAGTTTAACAAGCGAAAAAGCTACTTACCTTCCCAGGATGCATGTGGGGAGGGAAGATGTTGGGTCCTCTGCAAATCTTAGAGCAGGAGTTGATTTCCTGCAGTTTTGAATGACTCTGGTAGCAAGTTTAGTGATGCTCATATGAGACAGGAGAGCATAGTAATGCATGCACTTCCTCTGAAGATGATTTCTGTTTAGATTTCCAATTGCAATGGTCATCTACTAATCAGGAGTTTTCAATAATCAGGCCCCATCAACCAGTT